CACGGGATCACGCCTGATCATGACCTTGGATGCGGCATCCAATCCGCGTGACTTTCCCACAGGTGCGGGTGAGGCAAGTCATTCAGAGCGAGGTCCCAACTTTGCATGGATGGGGGGATACGTACCCCGAGGGTCTCAACGAAGAAGAAAACATGCCATGCCCTGAAAAATCTGAGCCAAAATACAGATACCTTTGCAAGGTGGGGATGTTCCAATCTCTTCTTACGAAAGGTGAATGCAGCTACTTACTTCCTGTTCTAAGTGTTGACCTGCCTATCATCGAAAAAAAAAAAACACACACACAATACAACAATACATGAACAACAAAAGGAGTTTGGCACATGAACTACATTGATGCGCCCAAAAGTTCAGCACAAAACAAGCACAAAACAAGAAACAGAACAAACACCTGGCTGCCTGAATCCAAACTCCACACGATACATCCGGACACTGAAAACCTCTGGCATTGCCAAGCACCCACAAAGATTTGTAGATAGTTCCTCGAGTCCTTTGTTCCATTCTCTTCCTTTAGTTCCAACACATACCACAAATTGGCACACCAAGAACACCAAGAGCACCGGATGACTGAATTGTTCGATTTATATATCAATATACTCTCCCACGGATTTGTTGGGGGCAGTTACACCGGTTTGAAGGGTGTCTCAGCTCGTTGAGTGAAATGACTCTTAAAACTTTAGATGAAAGCTTGCGTCTGTCGCCCCCTCAAATCTCGGGGCCAGCCTACTTTCATCTGTCACTTCGGTGTACAGGTAGGATCCCAGAAAGCATCCCTAGTCCCTAGATCTGGAGAAGATGATTGCTTTCAGGTGAGCATCTTTCTGAAGCCAGCTCCCGTGGATTGCGGCCAAGTGACAGTGATAAACCATCTGGTCTTTCTCGAAATCCTGGGAAGGGTGGTAAAGAACTTCACTGATCAGCTTCCCCTGGTTAGCTAACTGAACAGGATCAAAAGGCATCTCCACAAAACTTCGACAGCATTCGCGCCATGGCGAATCGAAGCAACGTAGCCAACTGTCTGGCACAGTTCACAGTACTTGCTTCACGGTCCTGAATGGCACCCTCAAGACGACAGTGTTCCTCTAGCTGCACCAGTGGTATTTTTCAGGGTCTAGAAGTGAGTTCGGTGAGGTATCTGACAGAAGTATTGACATGTCGAGTGTTGCTCTATCCCGGTTCACCTGGGTCCTGACAGGTTCCAGGTCACCCCCTGGCTCCCTTGCAAAAAAACAGCTTGACATTGTCTAGTTCACTTCCTGTGGCCTATTTTTGAATGAAAGGCCTACCAGAACAGGCAGCAGTTGCCTGTTCGCAGCAGTTCACCATAGTTCACCACTCTCCCTGCCGTCTGAGTGGCTAAAATATCCAGCTGAAGCGCCAACAGCATGTAGAAGCGCGGTGGCAAGCCGTGTTGGAACTTCCGGGAGCACACCGACAGAAACCTCGAGTGCGTCGGGCGGTTGCATCGGAAGGATCCGCCAGTTGAAAGGCCGATGCGTCCCGTTCAGCGTCGAAGTTCATGTTGATGCAACCCAATTTCTCGCCCTAAACCCCCGCATTTAACCAGCTGTTTGAACAGCTCTCTCTGGAAACGAGACAGTTTGATGTTGGCCGAAGGTGCTCCATCGACTAGATCCATCAGGCGAAGCAGGGCGAAGCAGGGCGAAGCAGGGCCCTCGCCCTCAGATCTACAGCCCCCCCGCCCCGTTGGTCCAGGCCGGCCGTGTGTCAAGGGGCCGGTTACGCACCAGCTTGCCCGAGAAGATCGCCGAGGGCAACTGTCCCACCTGGCGCGACCGGGAACAACAAGTGAGTCACAAGTGTTTTAAGGCTCCAAGCTGGCTTTGTGCACTTCAAAAACCACTGGCAAAAGCACACATTCATTGAATTTGGTCTTCATTTAATCGTTCAAATGCCACCGAAGGTTCATATAGCAAGTGGCCAAGTGAGATAAAACAAACTTGGACACGTGCCAAAGCTGAGCTCATGCTGGTCATGGTGGGTTTGCCTACGGAACTGCCATGAGTCCCTCCGAAAAGGGCACCAGAAATTCCAATACGATGGCATCTAGATCCAATCCGGACGATTTCATGACCCTTGAACCCGACAGGAGGAAACTAACAACATCTATTTGGAACATTCATTAAACATGCATGATCGCATATATTCCCAAACGATACAGTAAATGAGCCTATGACCCGATATCATGATATGGATTTATGATTAAGGACTCTATTCAACTCCGTTCCAACCACCCCGTCTCTTCCCCAACCACCCGTCTGCCACGTCTGCCCGTCTCCACGGTGATAACAACGGTCGAGGGCGGCACCAGGCGAATGGGCATGGATCCATTGGTCAGTAGTTCTCGCATCCATGCCTTGAGTCTCAGCCATTACCCAGGTGCAGATGCTTTGCGTGCGTGCTAGACGTCCGGCGTGCGTGCGTTTGACTCCTAGACTCCTGCACATCGACCCGGACCCGGTGAACATGTCTTGAACACGTGTCTTTTTCACGTGCTTTTGGTACAAGTACAGGGGGATACAGGGGGGTGGTTCTCGATGGTTTTCAGGTTCAGATTCTCAGATGTCAAGACGTTCATTCTTCCCTTTTTGAGGGTCAAGCTTTTTGCAATTTCGGAGGTTTAAACCCTCTTTGATCAAGAGTCTGGGATCAGAATTGAAATCCCTTCGTGAATTGAAAAATCTTAGTCACTACGTTTCAATCATCCCAAGCAACCAAGTAAAGGCCTGAGTGGGATTTCACCCCGCAGCTGCGAGAGAACAGGCAGCTGAGTTAGAGTGATTTCTTCCGGAACAGCATCTCGGAGGGAAAGTCTCACTGATTCCCTCTCCAAGTCACAGTTTCAGCTCCAAGTCTCACTTTTAGCTCCAACGCCAAAAGCTTGGTACAGTGAAAAAACCTCTGACACCCTCATGTTCTTTGGGAACAGGATGGAAAAGCTCAGTCGCTTGTACCGTACCTGTTCTTGTTGGGAAGCCCATCCCCATCCCCCCTCCAGGGTGGTGACCTGGTGAACCCCTTGGGTTCATCCCAAAGGACGCCATCCGTTGACCAAGCTGCCCGGTCGAATCCGTGCTTCTCGGCCCGGTTCTCCCGCGCCCAACGCACCAACCTGGGCACGGCCCTGGCACGGCCCGATCTCAATTTCCAATATCTGCGGTTTGGATGAGGCTTTTCATGGCTTTTTCCACCTAAGGTCTTTGGATGTCTTTGGGTGAGCAAACCTGAGGCTTTTGAACTCAACTATCACACCGTCTTGTGAAAGTCTTGGAGCTTACTTCCCGGTACACAATTCCAAGTGAGCTGTGCTGGAAACCTTGATAGATTGAAAGGTCGTATGGGAAGTCTTACGCTGAGACTTACGCTTTCCTTGCGCGCGCACAGTTTTACCTTACGCGGCTGGTTTGTGGTAGAAAGGGCTTACGCCAGGCTTACGCCAGAGCACTGCACTCAAATTTCCACACCCCTCCAAGAGAAAAGCTTACGCGAAGATGAGTTCATAGCAGGATAGATACACACGCACACAAGGCAGGCGACCATTTTCACGCAGCACTACTTGCAGAGTGACTAGATGATATGCTTGATGAGGACGATGTGGATTCTGCATCGAACACCTGGTCAGACTTCATGGCCTCACTCTGGCGCTTGCGCTTTCTTGCTTGCCTGCTCAAAGTCTGAGCTGGCGCCATGCGTGGGCAATTGATTAGAAATCGAAGTTGTCTTTACGCAGTGCTTACGCGGACCTTACGCCATGTCTGATCATTCCTTGGTTCATAAAAACAACTTGTTTTCATTGATTGGCCCTTACGCCACTGGTTATGTTGAAAAAACCTTACGCAACCTTACGCGCAGCAGACTTTTGCTTACGCCAACCCTCCTTATGACCAAGCTCTTAACAAAAATGTAAAGGGAGGTTTACGGCGCTGCTCAAGTCTCTTTGGCTGCACTGCTCCTCGTCAGCTTCCACATGCGTTTGAGGTGCACGCGCGTCGCCAGGCCGCGCGCGCGCGGTTGCGCTCGCGGGTGTTTTCTTATAGAATTCCCCTGCATGGTGACTGAGAAAGACTTTGGCTCCAGCGCTGTGGCGAGCCCTCTACAAAACAGTCTCAGCAAACTTGGTCCGGTTGGGCACACACCAAAAAGAACCGTCGAGGTGGAAAGCCATCTGCTCAACTTCCACCTTTCACAGGAACAGCTTGCTCACTTCCTGATGTTACGTGGCAGTTTCCCCAAGGTTCAACTTGCAAGTAGGCTTTTGAGGAGGATCACTTCCAGTAGCATGTATGTGAAACATGTGACCCAACACTAAGGCCTCTTCCGTTTCACTCTTGGCTCTCCAACGTGATGCGCCCAACCTGCACCCCAACCTGCACCGCACCGACAGGCCTTTCGCCCGGGGCGCGGAGGGACGGCTGGTCACCCCACAGCAGCTCGCTCAATCATCGTCGCGGTTGCCGTCGCCGCCGCCTTTGGGGCCACCAGCCTGCTTGGCCATGATGATTTGATCCACCTGGCGGATTCGAACATCGATGTTGGAGTCATGATGCACTTACAAAGGGCCTGAGAAAATCCATGAGAAAGCATGAAAGCATGATACTATGTTATAATGTATGATGTTATATGTAAGATTATGTGCAAGAAACATGTAGAACATATCTGCAGTCCTTGCAAGGGAGCCATGAGTTTGCAAGGAGCAATATGAAGATGCATCAGCTTCAGGGGTAACACGGCTTGGTCAAGAGAATATCGAGCAAATCTCATTTGGCGGACGTCAGCATTTCTGCTAGATTCGCTCTGTGAGCCGGAAACAAGTGCTCCAAAGGGCAGGTCGTTAACCAATCCGAGTCCGGAATCGGATGCTTCGTACAGATTCCCTCTCTACCAGTCCTCACAAGTAGGACAAGGCTGCCCATAGAGTCTCAAGTACCCAAACTACTCGAAGTTCACAGGACTGCGGGGTTTCAGCCACCACCGTTTCCAACAAAAAAAACCAACGCACACGTATTCGCGGGGGCCCCGGAACACGTGGTCGCCTTCAAAACGGTGAGCACAGCATCCAAGGTGAATCGGATCGCCCAGCGTTTGGTCTCCATGTGATCCAGGATGCCCTTCTCCAGTGCGTTACACACCTGGCAGCCGGTGGCATTCTGCGCTGTGTATGGTATTGATGCGCACCGGTGTGCGCACCACCAAGTACTACATAGCGAACCCGCTGTTTCAATGGTACCGTACGAACGAAGCACCAAAGACTCGCTTCCGGGAAGTCCAGGAGTGACATGTCGGGGTGGTGTTTCGTCCCAGGAAGTGGATGTGAAGGGGCACCCCTCACAATCAAGCACCCCGAGATGGAACTGCTGGGTCAGCTTCCTTTTCAGAGCTCGATTCCCGCCTTGGTCGACCTCGACAGTCCGAATCCGTCGCGACATGCCGCGTGTCGGCGCCAAGAACCCTCCAACGGCACGCCCGCTTTTTCAAGCGCAAAGGACCCTGGCAGGGGGACCTTGTTTGACCACAAGAACGCAAAGAACAACAAACAATGATCCAGGTTTTGACCCCACACCGATGTATGAAGATGTAGGAAGATATGAAGTGGTGCTTGTGATGTGACCGTTGGAGCTTTTGTGCACCAACAAAATGGTAAAGAACAACCCCATAGATCAACAGGACCAGTGCTTCCATACTTTTCTATACATTTCTGGGGTTAAGTTCTCCCTGTTGACCAGCGTTCGTCCAACCCTCCATGTCCACAACAAGCCACCCGCGAAAAAAAGATCGAAAACACCTAACTGGTTTGCACCCTCCCCCTTGGCACCAAAACATGACCTGTCATCGGCGAAACAATGAAAGTCGGAACGGAACCCCTGACCCAAATCCTAGTGTACAGCCTGATTTCAATGGGATCCCTCACGGCCAACCACTCAATATCGGAATGCCTATACATATGGTACGACCCCCAAAGATCTACCTTGTTCATATGTGGATGATACTTTTTATGTGCATAGATTCGATACACAAGCTTTAAACATAACTATACATAACTAGTTCTTGGGGACCTGGATTCAAGATTCAAGTTGCCTAGAACTTTGTCCAGCAATTTGAATCTTGAGTCCATATTTGTTGTTCTATCTCTTGTCTATAGTGTTTTCTTCTCTTAGACTACCAAACCAAAAAAACAACAGTCTCTCTAACCATTGAGGAATATGCTTGTTGTTTAACCTGGCAACGTCTTAACGTGATGGTCTCATTTGGGTTGGTCATATTTGTAAATTAATGTTTGAAGTGTTGAAATCAATATATAATACCGAAAACTTTTCCTATCAAAAGCATTTGTCTAGTTGTCCCACTCATAAGAGTAGTGACATAAAATCCATCAATGCATTCCTCCAGCATAGATTATCTATGCAATGACCTTTTTCAATGCCTTTGGAATTGTGTCAGCATCTGTTTTGGTGTGTGTATAATAGCGCTAGATATCTACATTCGCTACATCTGTCACATTGTCATTCAACACATTTATTCCTTCACCGTTCTTCTTTATTTGCTCTACTGACTCTGATGTTCATACAGCCTTGGTTGTCATGACATTGTCAAGTTCTTCATCTACATCAAATGTTATTTATCTAAGTAAGTAATTATGTGTATTCTCATATTGAGGATTTTGTCAAATAAAACCTTGGTATGTCTTCTGCATTTTCCCTTTTCACAGTTCTCTTGTGTATTTGGTCCTTAGGAAAGTAGGTCGAATTTATATATTGAAGGCTGACAGAGGTTGTGTTTGTTTGATACCAAGCTCTTTGAAGTCTCCCTCAACATAATCAACAATAAAAGGTCTTTTCTTCTCCTTCCCTTTCTCTGCATCAAACGGATTTATCTTTTGCTCCTACCATCTGGTCTCCACAAGGATATACAGAACCGGAATGTATTGTCTCAGCCCTTTGCATATTAGATCTATCCATAATAATGACCGGACATGCGTGCGGAAGGCAAAATGGTAGATCTTTGGGTGGGTAGCATATACTTATATATATATAGAGATTGGCCCAATGAATGCCATACATCCATGCGGCCTCTGGGTGTCACGTTCCGTGCTTCTGTGGCCCCGCGCTGGCCCCGCATCCACGTCGATCCCCGCAGCGGTCTCGCCCTTCTGATGCGCGGCGTAGAGCGCCGTGATGGCGTCCACGTGGCTGTGCCCCGCGTTCTCGGCCAAAATCCTTTGAAAGAACACGGAGGTAGGCGAGGAAGGTTGCCTTGTTCGCAAGGAAATTCTGGTGGTTTTTTGGGAGTGGGTGAAGGGGTCCTTGGGTCGGTGGGTGGGTTGGTCTTGTGAAGAATTGGTTGGGTGGTTGGTCGTTGGGTGGTTGGTCGGGTGACGTGCGCTTTGTTCCAAAGGCGGGACGCTCGTTGCTCCGGAGGGGTTCTTCACAGCATCAAGAGCCCTGGGACCAAGACAAAGAACCAACAAAACCAGTCGTTGGAGGGATGGGCCATGTTTACTAGGAGCTCCCCATCATTTGGAGAGACTGGTGCCAAACACGTCGGTTCATCGGTCGGCATCTCAAGCGGTGTTGGCTGGCAAACAGGGAGAGCCTACAGCGCCTAGTGTGGGAAAGGAACCGATTATAGGACCTCGGTCCGAGGCTCACCGGAGCCCGAAAAGCTTCAACGGCGTCCAAGTGGCTTGGGCACCACTTCCAGTGCCTCGGCGAACTTCAGCACGGCATACCTCAGCCAGGGCCAGGGCAGGAACAGCTGGCGCGTGAAAAATGGGCCTCCTCTGAACTCCTGACTGGATCGATCTGGAGAATGACCTTGAGATGGCCAGACTATAGTGGCTTACTTGCCTAAAGGTAGCGGGATGAACCATCACATGAGAGGGAGGGACAACAAAAACCGCCCAAAGTGGCATGGCTGTTGCCGTTGTCGAGTTTAGCTTATCATTCTTTGGAGCAGCTACACTCTGACTCACTCACGTGCTCTTCCACTGCCTTGTGATGTGTTCGCCGGAGAGTATCCCCAAAAAGCTCAGAAAGGACCCTCAGTTCGCTAGGGCTTCAAAACCCGGGTTTGGGAGCCAACCAATATGGGTGTGCATTTCATAGCACACTCTGCCAGGTCGACTGGTCTATTTTCCTTCCAACCCACATGGTGATGCCTCAAGAATCTATATAGAGGTTTCCCTGTTTTGAGCTGCTCAGTCGGCCCCTACAAGTCCAGTCCGACCCAGTAGATCTTGGTCTTTTACCTCGCGTATGTCGTGCTTTTTCGATGACCAACTCCAGTCTTTCATGAGCCCAAAACTGACATTGTAGGGAGCATGTTGGTCAGCAGTTTCAGGTGGACCGAACCTGGGCCTCTCAGCCTCGAGAGGCTCCGGAGGACCCTTCCACTGCTTCCACCCCCCCGAGGCGATCCGAGGCTCTGATCCAAACCCGGGACCGTCGCGCCGAACTGCTGCAGCTGGTGCGCCAGCTCGATCTCCGTGGCCTCGGTCCGCGGCGGGTTCGCGGGCGATGTGGCGAGCGCCACTGGAAGTGTCCAAGTGTCCAGGTCGATTGACCATGTTTGGTAGTGGGTGGGTCATTCATTAAATGGGTGGGGTCATCCACTAAACCCATGGTTTTGACCCACGGCGAGAAATGAACAACCTTCGTTCCTCGGCGGAGTCGTCCCCAAACAAAAAAAAACGCCCATCCGGTCGACCCGAACATTGCATCACAAGAACAATCCACCACCAAAAGCCGATTTTTTTGATGCTCCGTTTTCACCATGCGAGTTGCTGAACAAAAGCCGTTTCGGAATCGTCTTGTCGGAACCCAAACATACCCAAACCATCCATGTGCATGTGGAATACTTACATTTATCCCATGCATGGCCCATGGAGTCTGGGCGTCTTATCATGGGATCGATCCGTTCGGATCTTCCGGTTGGTCACGAGGGCCTTGCCTTCGGTCCCCAGTCCTGGGGCTCCAAAGGACTCGGAGACTCGGACGTCTGGTTGGAGAGTATGATTTTTTGGGACCTACTGTCTACCAGCACCTTCCAACAGGTCTCCTCTGGAGGCCTTTGTAGACTTAAAAGTCGCAGGTGGTGACCTGTCAGAGGGTCCTGGTACCTGTTGTCTTAATTGGTATATAAGTCAAAAAAACACAATCATTGCACATCCACGGGAAACTATGGGTTTCACCCCCCCATTTCACTCCCCAAAACCATTGGTTTCCTGTAGATGTTCCCTGAAACCGATTCCGGGATGATGAATTCCATCATCACATCGGATGTATGCCCAGCTTCTTCGTCACCGAGCCGCTCCAGCTCCCGCGACGAAGCGCGGATCCCGAGCGGTACATCTCACCACCTGACCCAACGGAAGACATCCGAAGGCAGGTTGGAAGGTCGAAGGGAATCGGAGAGACCCGAAAGATGGGAACCTTGGGCCAATATATGCCCAGTCCTATATACAACTATAGGGGAAACTGTACAGAAGGCAATGTCGAAAGAATCATGTTAAAACAAACTGACATCAACTGAATTTCGTTTTGACCAATATTGTATAGGCTCCAAAGACGCATTGCAAGCAGGCTGCTGCCTCATGAAAGGAATTGAACCAAGGGTTAACATACTGAAAGTAACTAACCTGGCCCTGCTTGCACACCTTTCTTCCAACTCAGCTAGGTCAAGCGCGCCTAGCTGAACAACTCACATGGGGTGAAGCAGCCCCGTCACAACTCTGATGATTGAATCATCCTTCTCCCTCAGTTTCCCTGGAATACCAGGTGAACCGTTTTCCTACCCTGTTGGATGCTCATCTTGTCGTTCTTCCCCCCCACGCTTTGGCTGGCCCATCGCATGAACGTTCATCACTGGACTGCAACCACTGCGGTCCATGGACGTTCGTCATCCGGTCCAGGGAGTTCGGGAACCACCATGCGGACATCTTCGTCGGTTTCCAGGAGGTTCCAAGATAGAAAGGGGGGCCGTCGCTCGCGTTTGGAAGCCACGAACGTCGAGGACCCCGGAATTTGCCACGTGCCTCGTGACTCACAGAGTGACACATTCTCAAATATGTCCAACGGTCGAGTGACCAAATGTTCAGTATTTTTATCAGGCCATTTCAATCCCCTATTGATACCTTCACAAGCCAAATTATGATAGTTTCCCACATCTGGAGATAGTTTCGCAATTTGAATCAATTTGAGTTCTTTCAGGCTCCAAACAGCTCTAAATCTCCTTGAGAGAACAAACATACATCCGTTGTACTCTGGTCCCACCTACCTAGCTGCAGTGCTGCTGTTCCGTTGCTCCTTTGTTTCACACTTGTCACCTGTTTGTTTTTTTGAACTTGCTTGCCCCCACTGCGGAAATAGGTCAAATTTACGGTGACGTCGGGTGACGTCGTTATCATTCAGGTCGTGATCTTCCAGCTCCCCCAATAAAGCTCCTGCCAGGGAACACTCTTTCATGTAAACTCTTGTCTTGACGCAGTCAGAACCACATTCAGCTCCCCAACACGGAAGTGGGAACCCACCACTTTGCAACAGTTGCACGAGAGAAGTCGTCTTCCAACATCGCCCGCGCCATCCACTTCCATCCACTTCCGAACGTGAGACGATGTGAGCTTCTTGACCAAAGCTCCAAAACCCTAGAGCTGCAACCACCTCCTGAGATGATTGGGGTGGGGTGGGGGGGTCTAACCATGTCTAACCGCCTTCTAAGATGGTTGGAGCCCTAGGGAAAGCTTCACCACCAGCCATCCCTTCACGTCTCCCGGCGCACATTCACCGCATTGTCGATGGCCCGCTCCAGCTCATCCAGGACATTGGGCGAAGCGGAGCGGAGCACGACGGTGGAGATCTTGGAGTCCCGCGTCTTGATGATGGTGAAGGGCTCGGATGAGATCTCCTCCACCTGGAGCACAGGAAGTTCTTTTTCCTCTCCTAGCCATGGCCTCCAACCTAATAGCAATGGTGTTTTCGTATTTTCTAGACTATAAATTGTTGTTACTGCAATATGGTTTAAAGCTTTGAAAAAAGGCTTGCTCCAAAAGGGGTCCTCTCCACTCCTGCAGCTGTTGAATCACTTGCAGCTCATACAAGTCCTTCCTGGCAACAAAGAGGTCCACCCCACCCCGCCCCGCACAGGGCGGGGCGTGACACGCGCGGCTCCGCGCGCGCGGCACCTTGATGGACTCCACATAGCCACACTCTTCGGGCAGCGGCGGCCCCGAGCGGACGATGGAGGTGGCTCCCACGGTGCGGCAGACGCGGCGCAGCTCGAATTTGGAATTGATCTTCAAGGCAAAGATCCTGGGCCGCGCAGAGGTCTGGAGGATAGGAGGAGGAGGAGGAGGAGGAGGAGGGAGGCCATTTTTAAACAACACATGGGAAGAGTCCGTGCTTTGAGAGGTTTGGTGTCAAACGACGATATATGTTTTCAAGGATGCTTTTGTTGGATTTATCAAAAGAGTACAGTCAAGTCATGGGATTAGAAAGTATTACAAACTTGTGGGCGGCGTGAAGCTCAGCAAACTCCAAATGAACAAAAACACAGGGTTACCCGGCTCAGCAAACTCTCTTCATCGGACTTTTATGACCAAAGCTTCTATAAGACCCAATCCAATTTGAACTATCTTTCCTTTGATGTTTGTCTCGGTCGGACCCAACGTAACCCAATCCAATTTGAACTATTCTTCCTTCGATTTTTCTCTCGGTCATCCTAATGCTACGGGAAGAGGTCGAGCCGCTTGTACTTGTTCAAGAAATGCAAGGCCATGTCCGAGATGGTCCCTCCGGAGATGACCACATCCACGCCCACCTCCTTGATGGCCCTGCGAAGCCAACCCGCCGCAAAGCACGGCGATAGAAGCCGCGGCTTTGGACGGTGTCTAACAGTCTCCAGGTGCCCGCTAAGATAGAGTAGCCTGTATACTAGACACTATGTAATAAGTCAAGTCTATTGGCCAAGGCATTTTTGTAAACTTCGGTGTTCAGCAGATATCAGCAGATCACTGTCAGAATGACCAAACAGCATCGGGTGGGATCTAGCACCTGGCTTTTTGATAATTACAAGATTCGGATCTCTGCACCTAAACAAACACATACAAAAACTATAAAAACTCAACACATATATCAGGCCTGGCGGTTGAGATGAGTGCTCGATCTCCAGAATACCAAAAATGACACTCACTCTGTGTGGGAAAACCAAATGGAAACAGCAAGCTGGAACCGCTTTAACCATCTGGAACCACCTGTTCCGATGTCTCTTCTTAAGCGACGATTCTTCTTTCCCTGTGAACCTGTCACCAGATCGATCCAAACAGTTGAGCCAGCTCGTCGATGGCTCCAGAAAACACCAATTCCAATGAAAAAGCAAGTCTTTGCCCACAAGGCTCCTCACTTAAAGAATTCACTGCTTCTGTTGCTACTTTGAAGCCAGTACCTACACCCTCCGACATGTCATTGCTTCACGAACTAACCCTCACTGTCAGTCAACTCCTTTTCATTTCGCTCCCGGACGAGCGCAACGCCCAAACCAACTCCACTGGGCGACTTTTGGAGTGCACCGGGCTCTCTCCACGTACCGGAGCAAAAAGACAGATGAAGAGGTGCCAGATTTTGCCGACCGTTTTGAACACCCACACATGGCTGGTGGATCTCGACGGCGCAAGCTGCCCACCTGATCATCTCCTCCATCTTTTGCTCCTCGTGAGTGCGGTTTTCGGCGGCGGAAGCAAGAACCACGAGACAAAAGCGTCAAAAAATGTCAAGAAGAAGCAGTCAAAACCTCTACAAGACTCCTCCAAGACACCTTCAGAAAGCGCATTTCAATCGTATAGCAAGGATATGCAAGGATTATATAAGTACTGGCTTCCCCCATGTTTGGTTTGCATTCGTGCAGGATGACCTTGTTGGACATGTGTTAAGTATATACATTTCACCCATGGATATGTATACCTTACAGGTCAATGCCATCATTTTTCTGGAGTTAGTTATACAAAAACATGATTCTGCTCTGGGTGCTTCTGCAGCTTCTGGAATTGACCCCATCCAAGTTCAAACTTGTTCATGCAAACTATCATTGAGTCATCAGGTACTCATGCGCTAAACCCGCTCAGTGGAGGCTGCATACCCGCTCAAAAGCCCCCAAGAAGGGCTGAATAGGTACAAGCTGGTCACAACAAATCACTCAACTAGTGTCATTTTGTCTTGTGTGGCCGGAACAACGGCAGCGACAAGTGGCAACAGCATCATCAAAATGATTCAAACATGTGGTGACTACAAAGAAAAAGACCCCCCCAAAAAAAGCACTTTAAAATAGAACACATATTATTCACGACGACAACAACAACAACATTCCACAACCAAACACACAAACCAACCTACCAACAAAAACAACTAAATAGAGGAACATCCTTTTCTCAAGCATTGGAATCATTGGACCATCACAAAAACTGCAGGTCACTGTGTATATGTACTCATCCCGCACCTCGCCCTTGCTAAAGTTCATGAGCTGCTCCGCACTCTCAAGGAGGACGGTGCCCTTCGTCTCCTCAGGAAGCCACTGATTCTGCCAGTTCGCTGAGAAAATACACTCCCGAAAACTCACAAGGACGCTGGGAATGGCACCCTGAAAGACTGGTTTTCAGGGTCCATGTTGTCCAGCTCATGTGGCATCCCCTCTGTCAAATATAGAGACAACCCACACAGCAAATTCATCCTTTCAATCCGGGGCAAATGACTTTCAACAAACTGTGCCATGTGGTCATGTGGTTTGGTTCTTTCATTCCACCGCAAACTCATCATGTCAGTCAAACGAAAGCTCTTCGACCTACCTACCGACCGAAGCAACCAGGATGGAGAAACCAAGACGATCGACAGCAAGCAGGACGGCTTGGCTCTGCAGTAACACCATCCCCACCGGGAGGAAAAGAAACGCGTTCCCACATAACAACTGGCTCTGCCAAGGCGTCCGTACTCCCGAGCTCCAAGGCTTCCGCATAAATGGCCACCTGGTGCGAACGGTTCCCGCTTGCGCCAGCATGACGTCCGCCTGATGTGTGTGGATTTGGATGACTTTACCTTTGAGGTGTTTTTTTGAGTACCGTAAAGTGTCTGTCTCACTCGCTCATTCACTCACTCACTCTCTATCTCTCCCTGCATCGGCAATAGAACTTGCTTGGTATTTATCCTTGAATTGTGCTATAATGTGCCAATGTAGTACCTGACTAAACTGGGTGTTCTTTTGAAAGATTGGCAGTCCCCTTCGACTTGACCAAAGGCATCCTTCTGCCTTGGAGGGCTCCGAGCTAATACATCCAAACATGAACACGTGTGTCCATGTCCATGTGGCATAGGGACATACACATAATATGGGGTCCTGTAAAAGATTGTGTTTGCAGATTGGCTCTCCTGCCACGATCACAAGGACCACTTGAACAAGCAGAAAACAAGTCTTAGGCCCCTCATGGACCTGTGTCTCCCCCCTTCACAAGCAACACGTACAGCGCCCTCGCTCCCCCTCGCTTACTGAAACACTCGCCTTGGCCTTCTCCTTGCAGTTCTCCACGCCACTGCTTCGTCGAGCGATGGCCATGCCCTCCACCACGAAGGAAGAGTTCAAGTTTCCACCCTGAACCTGGCGTGGTGAGGCGTGGTGAACTGGGCCGCAGTCGATGAGTGCAAAGATAGCAATTGGATGCCTTCGGGGGTGTTTTGGACCGATGCCCAGGAAAACTGGCACCAAAAAACAACGCCGAAGACCATCAAGGTACTAATGAAGGTTATTGGTGGGATTGAGGCCACAAAGTCCGAGTCTAGAATCATCTATAATCATAGTATATATGACTTTAAATAATGAAACTGCTGCAAAGCATCTGTTAAATGAAATGGAAGGGTATGATAGGGATGACCATGCTTAGGGACCACGTGGCTTGGCTGCTTTCTTGGACACCAGGACCCTCCCCTCTGTCATGTGCCGCCTTCGTGACCCTCACGTTGTCCACATCGAATTTGCTCGGCGTGGGAGGCATCACTTGCACACAGGCCTAGCGTTGTGGTCCGTCACTTGACCCTGACCCAAACACTCCATGGGACTGTCATATTTGCCTACACTGCGGTGGTTGGGGGGGGGTGAATGTATGCATATGGCAGTCCCATGGAGTGTCTGGGTGAGTGCTATCGGGGTCGCGACGACACGGTGCGGTTTCCTGGAACCTCCGATCACCTCTGACAGGGGGGACCATCCTGCGACCATCACAGCGCCTGCGCCTGTTGTATTGATGCATGGCTCATGGTCGAGAATTTGCGATGAGAGAAACAAGTGCACTTCAACTAGGAACAGCACGACTGTTTTTGTCCTACTTTTTCTATCAGAAACAACACTAGGTTAGGATAAACAATGGATAAACCAAACATCAGGTGCCAGGCGACCGACCTCTACGTGTCGGGCCACCGTGTCCCGGACGTCCGGCACTCTCGACGGCATGGCGGTGGGGCGATGCAGGTGGGGCGACCAAGCCATCGTAAAGAAGGCCATATTATGATCTAGAAACTGACTAAAAGAAGGTCAGCTTAACAAAGAATAGAATGATGATGAATGATGTCATACAGAAAGAACATGACTCAAATCTTTAAAGAAGGCCCAATCCGATCTGCGCGCCCATTCCGCACATGCGACCTGTCCAGATCCCACGATCGCCTTGGCCCTTGGGTGGCCCTTGGGGCGTTTTTGCAAGGGAGCCCGGTTTCCTGGAGTCCCCAAGTGACCGGGGGAAAGCAGACCGGCCTAATGTAGACTCTTGATTAATACACCGGACCCCCCGCATTTGAATGGAACATCCTCTTCAAAGAAAACGGTTTACTGATCAAGAGTCTACATTATATTGGAAGTGACCGGCCTAAGCCGGGAGAGGCATGAACTCAGCGGTTCAATGTTGATGGCTCTCAGAAGGTCGACACACAAACACACACACACACACACCACAGTAGCTGGCTGGAAAAACACACGCGCCAGCGCCCGTGGCGGCGCGCACGCCAGCTGCCAGCGGTGGTGACAAAGGTCATCAAAGTGAAGTAACCAGGTCAAACACGTGAAACTACTAACAACAATTACCGCTATTTCTGATATACAAAAACAACTTAATTGTCTGTTTCGTATATTTAAGTTAAAAACATACATATTGGATGGTATATTCCGGTGTGACCCCCGTTTCGCGCCCAACGCGGAGTGTCCGTCTCCCTCACCCGGTGCCCCCGTGGAGATCCGGTGGTCGTTACGATGGACTCGCGGGTCCGCCTCTGCCACCAGCTTCGCCAATGGACCCTCACAGCCCAACTGCTTCGAAGAGATGGCCGTCTTCACGCACTTCGTGAGCCTGAGATATGCACCTTTACCAGGGCCGTCAAACACTATGCAGGGTGCAAGGATTACGTACTTTACAAACAACCTCGCTGAAGAGGGAATTGGCAGAAATGGGAGTTTCAGAAGGGATTCCTGGAGGGATTCTTGGAGACATTGGGAGAAAGATCAAAATGACAGCCAAGGGTGCAGAATCGGTGCCGTCCTAACACGCGATCGGAGCGTGTTGAGACAAAGGCTTCAAGGCTTCAATCCTGCCTTTGGTGGAGAAAATCGTCCGCATTCATGGGAGCTTCCTTTTGGATACAATCCACCCCAAGGATGGAGAAACCAAGGGTTCGTCTAAAAAGTCCAATTAATTGGTTCTGGGCATGTGCGGTCAAACTTGAGAGAGTTACAGAGAGAGAGAGAGAGAGAAAATCAATCAAGACACCTGGAACCAACCACGAAATGACATGGTACTCTTTGTCTTTGTCGAATGTCCGAGTGTCCCACAGTTGGGATATACATCTGCATGACAACCCCCCACCCAAACAAGCTCTGCAGCAACGGTTCTTTTGAAACATGACACCTATGAACCCCATGTCCTTGCCGGATCTTTGCAGTCTTTAAACAATACTAATCCCGAGTACCTATTTAAAAACGGACCCCTATTAGAAAAAAGTCATGTCGGAAACCCCTAAGTACGGTTTATATTTGTTTTAAAATTACCGCCCTTTCAAGCCGCTACTAACCTACCAAAATTGCCGACTTTGGAGGAGTTTTTTTTTAATTAGGTTCCAAAAACAACCGTAACTGCCCACCTCTGTCCGCCCTGTCTATCCACCATGACACGCCGCGCTTACACCAGCAGGCTTTCCTTCCCCCAATGGCACGGACTCACGCAAACGCACTTGCCACCGAGGTCATGCAACACCGCATGGCACAGCGACATCACCTTTCGAAAGCTTTAGCTGTTAGTCTACTGAAGAATCACTATTCTAATGAAGGTTTTTGTAGGGGAAAAGGAAGACCCTTCGATCTGGAGCTTTTTGGCATTTTTGATACGAGTTTAATAATGGTTTTTATATAAAACTTTACTGATTTACTTTTTGGTTTTGAAGCTCTTCCCAGGTGACCTATTTTGGACCCCCCGATTTCAGGGACCCCCTATTAAAAAAAATGCGACCGAGGTTTCCTTATTAGGGGGGGGGGGCCCTCGTGCTTTTTATTAGGTGGACCGGATTATAACCAAAAAGCGTGCGGCAATTAAGGCTGCAGCCAAGCAGCTGCTCCACGCTTTTTAAGTCCTCACAGGACCAAGCGACTTGGGCGTTCAGGCATTCCAGCGCCTTGTCTCTCGCAAGCTCGTAGCCCTCAAAACTCACTGAGCTGTCTGGCGACATCGCAGCACTAGGACTTCCAAGTGAGAGCTGGACATATTGTTCCTGGTTCCCTTGACTCTTTCAAATGCACTGACTCCCTCGGATAAACGAACTTTCCACCGGTTCTACCACTCCAGCCATCTCGAATCGATGGCCTCACTTCCAACTCTCTGGTTACAAAACAAGTACAACATGGAGCTACAGGACTGCACGTGCCGCACGTGCAGGTATAACGCACCACCAGCGAATTACACACGTCTTCAGGGTGCGACTACCCCCATGCCAGGCTGGGAGGGCCCAGACCCCACACTGTGCCCATCCTCATGTGGGCGAGACATGACATCCAGGATCCGGAAGGTCTGCCCAGCCACGCTTGATGGGGAAAACACACACATCCCACCAACAGAAGAGAGTGGGACGCCACCAGGCCCACCCAAAAGACGTCCTTTTTGGGGGGGCCTGACAGCGTCCCTTTCTGAAACAGAAAGGGGCTAGGCCAGGAAACACTTCTGCAGCTGATCCCACAGCGCCACTCTAGTGGCGCGCCGGCGTTCCGAGCAACACTCGACGGCCCGGAGACCCAACGGCTGTGCCTTGTAGACGTCATTGGCATGGATGCCTTCCTGCGACATGGCGACGTTGGTGAAGACGAGGCGAACAAGTGGCGAGTGGCGTCTGGTCACCCACTACAATGGTCTACATATTTAGAAACGGTCCTACATGTGGGAATGTGAGTTTCTATCAATTTTGGCAGATCGTGTGCAACCACAAGTTGCAAAGTGTCTGCACACATGTTTATTGCAATCGTTTCCGGTACTCCTCACGGATTTTCCGCCATGTTTTTCGGCCAAAGCATCAGCACACTCAAGCACAACCAAAAACCTCAAAAACACGACCATGCCTGGACCATCCAATTGAACATGCGCATTAATAAGCAATGGACTGAACCCTCACGGCGCGACAGCGCGCTCCGCAGGACGCTCCGCTCCTTGAGCAGCTCCTCCGCCCGCAGCAGGAGCTCTCCGCCGAAGGAGACACACAAGTTGGTGCCATCGCCCGACTCCTGCTCCTGAAGCCGGACCCAAATGGGCACGTGGACATACCCGTTCGGCCTCCAGTCGTACCGAACCTGAGAAGGTGGGACTGGGGTGGGTGCCAGGGGTGGGTGCCAGGAGGGTCCAAATACCTTCTGAGGAGGGACTTGGAGGTGTAGGGAAAATAAAAATTGTTTTGTGTTAGTTATGTGATTTTATGTGCTAACATACAATTGTTTTTTTGCATATGGTGTACATGTTCTATAGATTCTACAATTGTGGCCTGTAGGGTGGCCACAAAGAGCTACATGGTAGGTCGGCCCTTAAGGGTGTTCAACAACTGTCCAACAGCTGCCCATTCGTTGGAAGCTTTCAGCCACTACTCCCCCAGGCCACTGTTCTTTGGAGAAAGGTTTGTCAAAACATAATATGTGTATACATGTACCATAAATAATGTATATATATATATATGATTGTACATAGTTGTTCAATGGTTGTTGACAGCTGCCCTTGGCCCTCAATCTCGGTTCATCTGGCCTGTTTGTCGTCCGCGTCGAACACCGGATGCTCTGAATGATATGTTGTTCCCCGCTCGGCGTGTCAAGCCCCCATCAAGATCCGTGTATAGTACTAGATCTTGACTGTTGGTGAATCAACTGAACCTGTTAGATCTGTTAGACGACTGCCTCCTGCAAAAACGGAGGACACCTTTTAAGCAAAACCGTGGACCGGTTTGACCGGTTTTCGGCACCGGCCCAGGAACGCCGGGGCGTGGGATTCCTGGGACTTGGCGGCCATCACGATGAGCTTGGCTGCTGGATGCATCACCTCAAGCTCCTGCAGGCCGACTCCAGGCGGAGTCGTCGAGGGTGAGAGAGCACTTGGGGGGGCTGCGATTGGGGGAAAGGTCATGGACTCTAGAGAGGGGCGGCCCTTATGCATATGTGTATATGAGAGAGCACTTATATAATGATACTTGAGTTTGGGATGCTGCACAAATGGTCTTCTCCCATCAAAACCAAACAAAAGCCAAGTGAGTTCTAGATACATATGAGTATTTCCTTCATGTGAGGGGAATAGACTACAATGACCTACACCTCAAATGCCGCTCTTGAAACTCTTGACTCCAGGAAAACATCACAAGGGCTAACTCCAATATCCAACATACAAGTCCGCAGGACCATGTTCCACCATATGCTTTCGTTTGTTCACTCAGTCGTCCCAAAGTGGAACACCAGAAACAGGCCATTTCAAGGTGCCACCATGCGCAACAGCTCTTCAGCTTTGAAGACCAGCGGCTGTCACGATGGTGTTGGTGTCGCTGGTGACGAAGTGCCGACCCAAGTGGTTCACAATGAGCTTGTTCATGCCTCATTGCAGTGGCCCTACGAAAGCACACTTCCACCATGCTGCACCATACACACGCATCCCGATCGCCGATCACAAGGGATCCTCCGAAAGGTTCCACAAGGATGCAACAAACGGCGAACGGCGGGGCCAGCGCGGGCAGTGGGCCATGCTACAACCTATAGCGCCTGCAGCTGCCTTCACTATGTCCTCAAAGGTGCTTCGGCTTCGAAGCCCAATCGAACAGAATTTTTTGGGTTACACTCCGACTCTCTAACATGGAAGATCATGGAAGTAGAAAGAAACCTGATTGTAAAGAAACTGGTACTTCCATGTCAGTGGGTCAGAGTGTAAACCTTTCGCCACCTGTTGGCCCCTGATGGCAACCTGATGGCAAACTGCTGCCTCGGGTTGAATGAGACTTAGCATTAGAATCTTCCTCTTCGAAGCAGGATGCATCACAGGAATGCTGCCCTTGCCAAGGGCAAAAGTACAGGCAAGTCTAGGCAGGATATTGCCATTCTTCAGCCGGATGTTCTTCACGAATGGACTTTTCCTAGAGCTCCTGGCCCACCCCACCTCCTGAGCTTCGATGCTTAGGGCTTAGGGTGGGTGGGTGCCAGGGGGTAGAGGGTGTCTATCTAACCACCTAACGGACGAGCCCCGAGCCCGGAGCCCAGTCTCTTCGATGCCAAGAGGCCATATGGGCCTAAGGAACTCTTGGTGATCTGCGCCAGGTTCTTACCTCGGGCGACCAGCGACCCAGAGCCCGCAACGGATGGACGGGGGGCCGGATCCAGGCGGATCCATCTCTTAAAACCCAAATTCTTTTGGGCTGACCGAAAAGCAGGACCTGTCCAAGATTCTTGCGTTCAACTGAACGAGGGTCTTGCTGAGCCTTTTGCGGTCATGGATGGCCATGGCCATGGCCACCGTGCTTAACGGACGAGTACGCACGCTCTAAAAGGCAGAAAAGTGTGCTTCCAGGCGGGATGTAAGCAGCTGGGTGGAGAAGGCGCCAAAAAATCGGTAGATTGGGGCAGTCACGGGCAGTCCAACTTCATCAACTTCCGAACTTGCTTGGGAATTGCTTGGGATTTTGGCTTCCCCCAGCCAAACGCCAGGTTCGAACAAGGGGACTTACACTCACGGCCACTAGAGGTGAGGACCTGGTAAGGGTACACCAGTACACCATAAATGTATCGATAGAGTCACCAAGGGGTGGAGGATAGGGGTCCCCATTATCTGCTCACTCAGGGACTAAAAAACAAGGAACGGCAGGAGCCCAGTCTACTCAAAACAGTTTTTTAACGCGCCCCCCCTCCACCACTCCACACCGTCACCATCCCAGGTACGGTATGTAAACAAAATCGATTTGTTTGCCACACACCCATCCCAAAAAAAGGTTGGTCAGGCTTACGGAAAGCCCTTTGTTGGGGCCAAAGGTACAGGCCTCGATGTTCTTCAACAAGGCCTCGTCCACGCCGGAGAAGTGTTTACCGCCATCTTTCAGCAGACCTCACTGGTAGCAGTCGTGGGGTGCCCAAACATCACTGTGAGGATGGATAGCTCAGATCGTCCACCCCCCCCTTTGAAAGGCGCAACAAACCTCAGATCTTCTTACTATATCCCAAAAGCTGTGTAGGGTCGTGTTGTATTTTAACATATTTTCACCGTCCACTACCCCCCTTAGACCTACAGGGCTGGGGTGGGGTAGCCCTCTGTAGGGTGTTCCGGAAGGAACGGAAGATTGATCGTCAGAAAGGACCGGACCTGATCCAGGGGATCTCAGTGGATCCCTTTTTCGAAGGAACTGCTGCTTACCAGCTTGGTTCTGTGATAGTTTAGGGCTCCAGCTATATGGTTGGAGCTCTAGGTCAGCACGGGTGGTGATTGGATGGAGCTGGGGGGATAGTGGCAACTGGATGTACTGGGTAGAGAACTCCCACCATCTGTTCACCCTCGTGACCAGGACCATCGAGGTCTCCACCCACCCTGTCCATGGGGAGACCAGGTGTCCTGCAGTGTCCGGTGAAAGAAACCAACTTCTCTCAGTACTGGTGGGCTTTCTCATCCGAAACAAAAAGAAGCGCCCCACCGGTGGAGGCATGCCATCTGTCCGTTCCTCCTAAACGTCCGAAATCTGTCCGAGGACACCCTTTGCGACCGCCCAAAGGGCCTTGTAGTCCAACTTGCTGATTGAACATCGCCATACTTTCGGCGAAATCGGACTACTCTCGTGGTCTTGAGCCGAGCTTTTCTGCGCAAGAATCCATTTTTAGGAAGCGAAGCTACCAAGCCAGGGACAGGTGCTTGTGCTGTCTGCAGGTGTTTGATGTTTGCATGTGTTTTTCATGCTTTTAGGGTCCTGCTCTTGAAGGAACAACACAATACGTCCGCAAGAAAGTTCTATATACACTTCTTCGAGCACTTTAAAACAAGGTGCAACTGTAGGTTTCATTTGGTTCATACATCCTTCAAGCAAATGTGAAAAGCTTGGGTGACATGGTGCAGTGGTGACGCAAAATCTATATATTGGTATTAATTATACCTTTAGGACCTACAATGCTGATCACCGGCACATCGCATCATGGTTCTTGACCCAGCACTGGGCTTGGAAGCAAACATCAAGCGAGTTCAAAAGCCTTTCACCTTCGGATGTTTGGCCGGTCGCCGCACCCGGCGCATGATGCGCGCATCGCGCATCGCGGGGTTTCCCCGCGGACCAAGGAGCTGCTTCCGCAGGGGCCGTGCGAGGTTGCAGTGCTCCGAGAAGTCCTGGACCACCTCCACAGGCTCCGGCAGTCCGGGGTCGCCGTCGGTCTCTGGGGCGGAAGAAGGGCCCAGAGACCGAAGGGCACAGCTACAACCCACGTCCCCAAGCATCGAAACGGAGGTGGGCCAGGAGCCCACCCTATAAGGGTCCATCCGGTGGCTCACCGCTCCGTCGAAGGGAAACGGGTGGACGGCAGTGGTGGAGGATACAGTTAGAAGTCCAATCAAGATTGGTTTTGAAGTGAAGGAAGTTCCCTTTCAGGTACCCTAAAGACCATATTTTGCTCCTTGACTCCGGAGTAACTATTCTGATATATCCAAATTCTACTCTCAAAGGGTAGTGAAGTCCTCCAACACCCTCCGGAACGAATCACTTTGGCCTTATTTTGGAGTTTCGCCACGTCTATCAGTCTCGCAGTTGTGGCGCCAGTAACACAAAGGAAAGTGATTTCAAATCAACTCCCTTCCAAAAAATCCCAAATCTACGGGTGGGTCCGTCCCCGGGGGTCCGTCCTGGAACTATCACGTCCTCACCTGTCCGTCCCAAAACGGGTCCGCCCGTTTTGAGCGAGGGCACGGCCGCCAGCTACGCGCTTGGGAAGTCACCGGCCGAGTGGCTTGGAGACGTGGCTTGGAGTCTTGGAGACTTGGAGGTGGAATCGATATCAACCAAATCATCACTGAATACAGGATCCTTCATCCAAAAGCAAAAACCCCAAAATCGATCAAATGCGCAAGTCTCCACCTCCGAACACATAATAGCAAGTCTCCCGAACGGCGCCATCTCCGGCGCCATCTCCCCTCTACTCTGTCCTCTACTCTCACCTCCCCTCGCCTGCATCTGCTGCTGCACTCGAGTGGAGTTCTCGTCCAAACGGGTCAACGTGCTAATGACTTCGTTGAGGATGATCTGAGTGGTTGAGACCCCCTGGAAAACTCCACCTGGACCCTGAAAAGCCACTGGTTTGTAGATGGAAAAACCGCCTTTCCGGGTCCTGACCTGGGTCCATGCTGAGTTTTCGGGAGTGAGGATCATCCGCGTATCAACAGGAGTTTTCCGGGTGCTTCGCGGAGATAGGATGGAGTCCTATATCAAGTCATGTCACTCCCGGGCTCCCGACGTGGAACTGCCAGCGTGTTGTTGGAAGACCCCGCAGTATGTAGGGTCTTCCCCCCATCTGGAGGACCAAGAGGCGGCCCACCCAACATAGCCCAACGATGAAATAAGGCACCCCGCTGTCCCCTATTTCTGAACTCCTGTGTTCGATGTATGTATGCAAATATATGCAAATGGTTTTCCTCATTGACTCGTGTCTGTTCAACTCTTTTGCATTTGATCACCTGTGAGTCTTCTTCCGAAGCCCCAGAACGCCGGCGTTTCGCCCGAGGCGAGGAGGCCGCGGAGCGTCTCCCGGAAAGCCCGGCAAAGCTGATCTATGTATGGAATGAACATACACTCTGACGAACACATCACATGGAAGTGGATGGCACTCGCTGTTGGTCGAGGAAAGTAGTCTTCCAAGTGACCATTGTCCACTTCCATGTTAGTGAGCCAGAGGGTCTTTGGACAACCCCTGAAATGAACCGATGTCTGGCCGTTTCGGTGAAATCCGGTCCAGTCCCACCAGCAGTCACATGTCGGAGTGCGATCCATGGAGGAAGTCGGGGTGCCCCTGTCACATCCACTCACTGGATGGGACGAGCCACACCACCCCGAGAGGTGATTTTTGGTAGCCCTAGGGCTCCAGTCGTACCTGCTCAGGTTCGGTATGACTGGACCCTCCTGGCACCCACCCCAGTCCCACCTTCGAAACGAAGGGAAGACTGGAGCCTGGAGCCCTAGGGTATAGATGCTAAAATCGACGATCATAGGACCCGCGGACCCACCAGTCGAGTGGCACTATTGACGATGGCCCCCAAGAGCATGGTGAAGCACACGTAGCCGATCTCCGCTTCCGTGAAGGCCGACATGTCGCCGAAGCCCACCGTGGTGAAGACCGTCAAAACGAAGTAGAAGGAATGCAACCATTGCACCTGAGGATTGCACCGTGGCATACAAACGAAGTGGATTCAGGAAGGGGGGCGCCCAACCTCAGATCGCTGATCAGCTTGACTTCAGCCTGAGTCAAGGGGCTATCCCAGACCATCCAAGCGTGGAAAAGGCACATTCATTTACCCCTTATGACCCTCAGGTAAGTAACTTCTTCCATCCATGGAGTGTCTGGGTATAGTCATCTACAGCTTCTAGCCTCTAGCCACCTATGTAGTCTATGAACAACATACTCCATCCATCACAGCTCCCTCCCAACCAAAACCACTTGAAGCATGTCTCGCTGCCATTGCCACCACCCCTTCTCTGCTCCCCTGACCCGGGCACCTCTGGGCTCTGCAGTGTTCCATCGCCCTTGAAGACCAGATTGCCACCGCTGGAGTCCACGATGCGCATGCCCAGCCAGGTGTCTTGATACCTCGCAGGCACCGAGGTATAAGGTACGGTGCTCCACCCGGTGCCGGTGCTCCAGGCGAAGCCGGTACGGCGCGGGTGGGACCGGTCCACCAACCCCAGCTGGACCACTGATGGGAGCCAAGAGATTCCAAAGAGGTTTCGAAGTCCAAGGTGGGAGTCCAAACACCATCCAAGCCATCCAAGAGTTCCCTCATTTTCCAGTGGGCTATAGAGCTCCAAGTACCTTCACTTCTGAGAAGGTGTTTGAGGTGCGTTTGGCAGGTCCAAAATACATTCTGAGGAGGTACTTGGAGCCCTAGGGATGGTTTCAGAGTGATTCAAAAGTGATCATGTTCATCCTCAGGCATGCTCTTCAATAAACTCCCAGCCTTTAGGTCCTTCTTGGTGTGCCCGACCTGGCTTTGCACTATATGTTGCTCGAAATTATACCACACAAACGAATCCGGCCGCATTCTTCCATTCTTGGCAGTGCTGAGTCGTACGTCACCTGACGTATGCTCCAGCCCCGCTTGCGGTGGACAGGCACTCCAGCCCAGCACTCGATAAACAGGTCTCCTTCAAGTGGCAGCTGGTGACCTCTTGGAAGGTCCAAATCACAAAAATTTTCCCTATAGGGCTCCCGGCCCATATCGTCAGGTCAGGTGGTTAGTGCGGTTAGAACCCCCCCTGGCACCCACCCCAACCACCTTCGGATGTGGTTGGAGCCCTGGATCCGTCAACCCTTTCCAACATACTGGCACCACCCGGTGGATTCAGCCAAGCTGGAGTGTCAGTCTCTCATCCTTCACGGCGCCCCCGCGTTCACGGCCGCAAAAACCCTCCAGGGAAGCCCAGTGGCGGCACGGAGGTCTGCAAAGCAGCACAAAGGTACCAGCCACAGCACACCATATGGGCCACCCACGACTCAGGAGACGTCGAGTTGGTCTCTTCGTCACCCAGACGTTGCTGGTTGCAGCTGCTGGCTTGCTTGGTGCGTTTCTTTTTTTATTCGGGCAACCGACTGGGAGCTGGGATAGAGTTACAGTACCATTCTACCAAGCCCACATTTACTCCATGTGACTGCCATCTGAATGCCATATCATATATGCCGATCAGTTGGGATGATTTGGGGGGTCAATTGATTGGCATATATGGCAGTCCCATTAGCCGTGTCTGGGAATATGAAAACCCCAGGCTGCCTATGAGCTGAAAACAAGCTGCAAGTCACTCTCAAGATAACGATTCCAGGTCCCAGCACCCTCCTGTCGGGGTGCCCTGTCTGGAAGCCTAGGCCGGTAGTGTGGGGTAGTCCAGCCAGGACACCCCGAAGGTCGGAGGGTCCAGGTCTCCAAGGACCAGGCAAACGCGTGGGTCACGTGGGTCACGCGGTCCGAGAGGAGTCCAAGTCATGGCAAACGTCGCCCTGAAGCTGACCAAACATGGAAGGGTAAACCAGAATAAACCCAAAGGAACCGAACTGTTCCACGGTTCAGGGAGTGTTGTCTTCCCGAATTCGAAACAAAGTGGCATATCAGTGAGCCAGGAGACCGCTGACAGACCCTGAACAAGAGTCTGCCGTAGATGCGAGGTCCAGCCTTTCTTTTTGACATCCCCAGACTCCTGGATGTGGAAAGTTGTTGTGACATACTGGAGGGATTTGGTCTGATCTGGTGAAGTTGTGGGGTTGCTTTTTCACACCTGGCTGGTCACCCCTGCCACCAGCCATAAAACACATGCCACTGGTCCTTTGGGCGCGATTTCTATGGCAAAAACCCAAAGACTACAGACCTGAACACATGCATAACACAGGTCCTCAATAATGGAAACAACGATGCCCCCCCGGACAATATATATAAATATGCACATACATAAATGCATAATTACATACATATATTACATGACATTACAGTACAGCACAGTACATTACATTAGATTACAATACAATACATACACTCATTAGTTACATTAGGTATGCATCTTCCTTGGGCTGTGGAAATGGTTTTGTGAGAGTGCCTTTCACTCCTTGCGTCCAAGTGACCAGCATGCAAAACAAATTGATAATCCTCAGGAGAGTCGTGAGCTTCGAAACAGCTTGAAGTTTTCACATAAATGATTAAAACCAAGCAAACGTGATCAGCAATGGCCGACGTGGCTCTGGTTCTGAACCAAAGTGAAGTCGACAAGAACAATTTGCAGTTAACTTCATTTAAGTTGTTGCTGGTCTACATGTTTGAGCTGTGTTCAAATGTAGATTCTTCCCCCTCCAAAAAGTAACATGCCGAGGATTTGTCTCGGCTCATTGACACAGTGTGCGACTGTCCTTCTTTTAGATCTTCGCACTATCCCCCTTGCTGGCAGCACCAAGCCGCACTGAGATGGCTAGTAATAGACTGCTGAGATGGCGGACCAAACGCTTACAACGTTTACAACAAAGATAAAGTTGCTCAAGTGGCCCAAACAAACGAAGTTGTGTTTGGCAAAAAGAACCTCGACTCAACACCCATTCCAAGAGAGGTTACAGTGACACGTCACCTGGGGTACCTACAGGATAGTCTATAGGGTTCTTCCACCTCCTGGTCATTTTCCCTAGGGCTCCAACCACCTGGTCTAACCACCTTCCTCGGTGGTTGGGGTGGGTTTGGGGGGTCTAACCACCTTCTGAGGATATGGTTAGAGCCATCCAACCACCCGTCAATGTCAACGACGCCCCAACCCCATCGATGTCAAGGTGCCGAACGCCCCGGAGATTCCGGAACTGTGTCACCATGGGGCCTCAGGCGCCCGAACGAACCGAGCGAGGTGGTGGAACGGCAGGTGGCGCTGTGAGATGATTTTGATGGTTGAATAAAGAACCCGGTGAGAATGGTTTTAGACTATTTTTAGAATGTATTTGTGTTGATGTTTGATCATTTTGCATCTCAAAAAACATCATCAAACTGCAGTCTACTTGATTCACCGGATTTGGCAACACCTGTGGGCTGATCCACTGGCGTGGAGCGAACGCGAGGCTAAAGGCACTGGTCCTTCCTGAAGCCACCGTCTTTTCTTTCCCCAAGCACCTTCTCAAAGGCGCTCCAAGGATCATGTGGATTCCAAGGGTCTGGGAAAGGAGTTACACTCCCACAAGACCAACATACACCTCCCACCAAACCACTGGGTGTGTGTTCCAGAAACTGCCGCAGCCTTCCAGGGAGAACTAGCAACTTGGGTTGAAGAAACATGGAGAAACTTGAAGGCTCATCGATCGCATCGATCGCCGTCCTCCAGTCATCGCAAGACACCCGGTTCTTTCGCGATCGATGCCAAAGAAATGAACTCTTCCATAGAGGTGATCTCCCATGTTTGCTTCGCAAAGAATGGGAACCATGTCTTTCACTCCTTAGAACCTTCCCTACTCTCAAGCGGATGTCTGCGGTCCCCGCTGCGCAGCGGATGTCTGCGGTTCCCTCATGTCCCCGCCCGCCGTGCGCCCAGCACGTTCGGAGAGAACTCACGTTCTGCCAAGCAGCTCTCGTCCAAGAAGCGAATCAGCTTCCTAGACCCAAGGCGCCAATGGCGTCAAGAAGAAATTCCGAATTCCCCATACAGGGATGTAAAGAGAACCTGATATAATTGATCTGGAGTGACTCCAGGGTTTCATCGATGATAAACAAAGAGCAGTTAGTTAGTAGGGTCAGTTTTCCTATTTTACTCTATGTTTGCCTGTTTGACTTGGGTGGTTGCAGGCTCCAAACATCTCCAAACCATAAGGTTGTGTACAGGGTGAAAAGCTAAGCACCAGGACCTTCCCAGTCACCTTTTGAGATCCCAGAATGAGGTCACTTAGGCCTTGAAAAGGTCACTTACCAATCCTGAAGAGGTCACTGGGAAGGTCCTGGTATTTGATTATTCATTGACGGTTCTCGAAATAACTGCCTTGATGTTTCTCGACATGTCTCGAGCGGAAGGAGGACGGCAGCTTCGGTCAATGCCCAAGGGACACGATAGGCAATAGTATATAGAGTCACTTGAGCTCCTATAATAAGTGTTGATTGGAAACGATATGAAACGATTCTGTATCACCTGGCATGATCAAAAAAGGAAACACACACACAAACCATCGATTGTCGCCCGCGCGGCGTCCCTTTTTGACATCTATACTGGCATTTACTGACACAAACTGACTTTGGCCTCCCATATCACCCCCTGTCAATTCTGGGATCGTTCCATCTCCGTCACACCGAGCATCGAGAGTTGAATCAGCCGCACCAAGCGCGCCAGGCGCGACATGCGCTGCAGGCGTGAGAAACGGGTCACCTGGTGGATGTCACCGGTGCAAAACACCGTTCAACGACTGGTGGAGGAAGAAGAAAGCCTTCCATGTGTTGAAGCAGTTCGGTCACCATGATCCTGATTCGCTCCTAAGTCTGGGTGCAAATCATGCTTCTGAGTCAAGTCCCAATTTGTTCAGGCGCAAGATGCTAGAAGCTGACTCCAGGTGTGCGTCTTAGGACCTCGGGAGTTCATCGATGTTAATCGCATGTCTGCTTTCTCCCTTGGAACTTGGCGATGACTTGGAGTTGGTTTCGGAAAAAAAGACGGTCAACTCGACCATCTGACTCCCTCCACCAACCACCTCCTGGCACACTCAGGAGTTGGTCCTTAGATGCTCTACAGGCTTGGCGATGACACCCGTTGCTCGCGGCTCGCGTTTCCAACGCACCTCGAGGATATCGGCGCGCCTCAGCTGGAGCTTTTCAGATCGAGTTGATATCTGTTGACCACAGGGGTCCGTCTGCATCCAGCTCTCACGGTCAAATTGAGTCTATATTTGGCCACAAACCCTGCGATGTAAGAAGTGCATCCATGTTGGCTGAAAAGAAGAAAACGGACAAGGCAAACTCATGGACACCACCGTTTGTGATTGAAGTAAGAGGAAGCAAACCCAATAGTACTTGCTTCGACGAACATTCATACACTCTCCACGTGGTCTAGAGTCTAGAATACACTACCCAAACGAT